AGCAATTTCTCACATGAATAAGAAGTCTTGCAGTAGTTATCATTGCAATCAAAAGATGCAGACTGCCCCACCTTCACAAAAGAGAGAAGCTTCCTCCCCTTTGCACCAAAAAAGTACAAGAAAACACACCAGAGTTTTGACTCTTAGACTGCCTTCATCAGGTTCTCATTTGACAGTAGAACATGGACTAAAATTCTTACATTCCTTCTAATTAGTATTACTAATCAGCACTCTTGAGAGACTTGCTGCTGCTTGGATTAATTGTTTCCAATCTAGATGGCTAGGAGAGAAGTCTGACAACAGGGAAAGTAAACATGTATGAGAAAAATGAAATGCTTGGTGAATGGTTCAACACTGAACAAGGAGTAAGACAATGATGCGTGATGTTTCTTTGGTTGTTTAATGCATTTATGGATAAATGTATAAGGAAAGCTTATAATGAAATCAGAGGTATATTGCCTAGCAACATGAATGTGAATGTATCTTTGTATGCAGATGATAGCATGTTGTTGGCAGAAAACCCCAATGATTTGCAGTGAAGGAAATTATATAATGCATCAAGAAATATGGATCTGCAAGTTAATTTATCAAATACCAAGGTAGTCATGTTGAAGAGGGAAAAACAAAGTGAATGGTTGGAAGTTATACACAGCAAAAAACTAGAGCAAATGGATAGATTTATGTGCCTTGGTAAAACATTGACCAAAGTTAGGAAAATGAATGGAGAATTTTTAAGATGTACAAATGCTGATAGAAGGTAGTGCATTGTTTATGGCTTGTTGTGAACAATGAACATTTGTCAGAAGAAGCAAAAGAGTCTGTGTATAAAGGGTGTTCTTGCCTACTTTGTTGTATGAAATGAGAGTTGGGTATCTCAAGAGAAACATTACAGTAAACTGAATGCAGTGCAAACAGGATATTTAGAAGTGTGTGTTGTAAAATAAAGAAGAGATAGGATCAAGCATGAATGGGTGCTGAATGAATGTAGACTGAACATAAAAATGAATGTCCAGCATGAAAGAAGCATGATGAGGTGCTTTGGTCATATAAACAGAACAAATGAGGATCTAATTGCAAAACAGTATATGAAGGAAGAATGAATGACTCAGGAGGAAGGTGAAAACTGAGAAAGTTTGGAGTTGATGAGATTCTCAAAAAGAAAGAGGTGAGAAGTTTAACAAGCAAAAGTCTATGTTTAAATCAGTGTATGGATATGGTAGAATCAAAGATCACTTGCAAATATTGGAAAGTATGGAGAGGTAGAGTGAATAGTGTATATTTCTTTTTTCTTATTTCATGTTTTTAATTTATTTGGCTTGCTCTTTCTTCCTCTTTTCTGCATTCTGCAAGGAGAAGTGTGATATGTATGTATGAATATATGGCACTGTGTTCATCTGGGCTATGGCTTATTATCTTATTTCCTTAATAGCCATCCTGGTCCTTGGCACCAACTGAAGTATTTGGAGATAAGTAGTTGATCACCCTTCTCCTATGTACTCTTTCTGAGACATCACTCCAATTTAATCCTCTGTATCTGTCAGCAGCATGAACATAGCTCAAAAGCTTGGGGTCTTTCTTTTTCTTGGTTGTTTGGGTTCTGTGCAGCATCTCATTCAGATGTTGTTGTTATTATAAAAACATCTTTTCCACTGGAAATAATTTTCAAGCCTTAATTTGCAATTTATTAATTGTAAATTTATAGATTAAATGTGAGAGTATTTCCTTGCATGATATCAATTTTTCTGATTTTTCCCTGATCTTTTTGCTTGCACATTCATTGATGAATGACCTGCACTTGAAGGATTAAAAAAAAAAAAAAAAGGAAATGGTCAGATTTGGATTTGCGGTTTCTTTTACTTCATTGCTCATGAAGTAATACACAACGTATTTTTACCTCTTTATTGAAATTAGTCACTTAAATATACCACTTTTTTTTCTGGAAAGCAAAAAGATGCCCGTTTTTTACTTCAATTTTGGCTTTTGTGCTCCTATTGCTGTAACAATAGTGCTATAAAACATATGGCAGGGGTGAAATGATGCAAGCAAAATACTATACAGTTATAAACTTTAAAATATAGGATGCTTTGATGTTTAAACATAAAATGTACATAACTAACATTATGAAACCAGATGAAATCCATCAATGGTTATGGGCATAAGAGCTTCCATTTAAATGGAGAAACTTAGTGTATATGAACAATCCCCATTCACTGCAGTTTTTATATAAGAGATTGTCTCTGCCATTTATTGTGCAAGTAGATTGGACTTTTCTAGTGGAATGAATGAGGTAGTGAATGCCATAATTCCTGTGTATACTTATTTCATAAACTGTCCACTGAAATGTTGAGTTGCTTGGGATATACATATGCATAATTGTACTTAAATTGCTTTACATAGAAGCCAGGCTCTTTGATTTCAATGTAACTTTAGATTATAGACATTTCACTCAGGACCAATTTATAAGCATAGCAGAGTATATCATTTATGATTAGTATTGATTGATCATGTGCCATCGTACAGTATGTATAATATGCGGAAGTGATTCTTATGCACAACCTATTCTTGGATGTATTTGGAAGGAAAAGAAACAGAATTGTTATAACCGTGTCCTTCACAAATAGTGTTGTACAATAAAAAAAAAAAATCCTGGATACAAATGTGTAATGAAAGTGACCCTCAGCATACTAGGGTTTCTCAAAATGATATTATTTTGTCTAGTTTTGATAATATGCCAGTTGTTTTCAGAAGGCTGCATGGACCATGTGATCAAGGAGTTACACTCTAGTCAGTTCTAGTAAGACTGTTACTGATAATTAATGCATAATTCTAGATATTCATTACTAAAATGAAAAACTAAATGGAAAGTATAAAAAAAAGAAATTGTAAATTTTATTATGGTGTTTATGTTTAATAGAATCAGTACAGAATTATTATTTGTACTCTCAAAAGCAGTATTATCATGAATGAATATGCAATGTTTGTATTCCCATTACATTATATTTCTCTATTACGTGACATTAATAGGTTATTTTTTTAAGTTATCTATAATTCATGCACCTGAGTATAACATGTTCTCTAAGCAGTAATTTCCATTTTGTTTACCAGTAGTAAAGTATTTTAGAAGTTCAGTGTTGATTTTCTTTGGAAATGCAAAAGTAATCCCACAATATTGGTTTACGTAACAACCAGGAGAATTGAGCTTAAAAAGTGCCTTCAGCCTAGTTCAGGTTTGTTTCCTACTACAACATTTCAAAATTCAAGTTACAATAAATCATATTAAGGAGGGAAAATACAGGTTGTAATTGTTTCAAGAAATAGATTGCAGTAACCAACGTGAAATGCCAGTTATTCTTCAGAAACAAAATGTTTAATCACAAGCCGGCTGAAATAAACCAGGGGCTTTTCCCCATAGCGGAGTGGACGTGCTAACCATTCTTCCTTGAGGTGGCAGAAAATTAGACTGACACAACATTTTCTGTCCTCATTCCGATTCTGTCCTGCTTCTGCCTGTCTTTAGAGTCATTTGACCCCCTTAAAAAGACATAAGTGCCACAGACTACCAGATTTTACACACCTCAAAGCTCCCCTGGGATGGTGTCAGAATAAAGGGGGAAATGCTGCTTTACCACTGGTATAGCAAAGGGAGGCTTAAGCTGTCTCTGTCAATGGGCTGGGGTTAAGATGCAAACAACATCCTGGGGACACTGCGGAAAAAAAGATGTTGCCAGATGTTTGTGCTGTGGTTAGGTACAAATGGGAAGAGACCCTACAAACACCTGCTCTTATTGGCAAAAACTGCTTGGATCATCCAACATACTTTCAGTAAGTTTTAAAAGGTAACTAAATCTTTCTGCTGTTTATAAAATTGAAATCTCAAGCTGGAACACAATAAAGACGGTAAAGTACTTTCTTCATCAAACTAATATTTAAGCTGGTTAGAGTTCATGACACCAGCTCAATGCCTATGAATAAATGCCTATAGCTTTACCCTATAGCAAAAGACTGATACAAGTATGTGATAATTCACCATCTGCTTACATCATTCCCACATAAAGTTAGTTACTTACCAATGCAGCCATTTTGTTGATGTTATACATGTTAATAACATTGTACAAGGCTAAAGAATGCAATGTTCACTACTTTTATTCACAATGGTACTCATATTATCTACTGTTCTTCATGGGGCACTGCATTCATTTCTCTGAATAGGATCAGGAAACCCGCTGAAAGACTAGTCAAAAGCATTTCTCATCATTAGGTTAAAGCCTTTCTTCCAAAACAGGTCAACTTTGCATTTGAAATGCTATGCCAAACAATACACGTGTACCTTTCACTATGTACTCAAAGGACATATATGTGTACCATGCAAGAATAAAAAGTAGTTTTAAAATGCACAGTCACTTGTGCAAGTGCATTGGCAAAAGAGAATGCAAAGTAATGGCTCTTGCTCTGAAATTAATATGCTGCTTTCCTTTCTGAATTACAGAAACTTAGAAGTACTTACACACTGATAATTTGTGTTTTCATGTCAATGGGAAATGACAGGTTAAATATGGTTTGCTGCATATGCATATTCTCTCTGCACCAGACATGAAAATGCTGCTTTCAGTTTTTGGTTGGTTTGGTCATAATTTGGGGGAAAAGCTGCAATTCATACTGCTCTCTACTTTACTTCTTTTGAATAATCAGCTAGTTATTGTTCGTGCTAATGAAGCATTTCTGAATTTTTAATTCTGTATTTGGCTCAGAGTGTTAACAAAATTGGTTCCAAATTGTGATTCCTAGTAAGAATATAACAATGCATCATGGGGAAATCCATGTGAATATAATTTCTTATTCCTTCATGTATATAAAATAAATTGCCATTAATATATACCTAAGCTAGTTTAATCTTCATCTCAGAGTTCTTAAATACCCAGAGAGTATTCTGGAATGCAACTAAGGGCATCCAATCCTATTACAAGCAAAACTGTCATTAACAGTTTCTCATTCATTTGCAGAAACTAAATGCATCTAGTTCATCTGAAGGTAGCACAGTTGATGTTGGACTTCCTCAAGTTGGAGAGCAACCTGAAGCTGAACCTGAAGAATCTCTTGAACCAGAAGCCTGTTTTACAGAAGGTGAATAATATAAAATATTGCACGTCTTTGAGTGACTGTCTGAAGGACCCCCTGATCCAGGAAAGGGCACAAATGGCACACCAGATGGAGGTGTGCAAAGGCCTTCCTAGCCACAGCTGACACCTGCTCTTCAAGGAGGAGCTGCAAGTCTAGGAAGACACCCAGATTGCACACCAACCTTCAAGGGTGAAGTGGAACCCTATCCAAGGTCAAAGATGGAATATCTCTAGATCTGGGCAGTTCAAACCCCCACAGCCACTTGATCTTGGTAGGATTCAGTCAAAGAAAGTTCCTCCCCATCCCAACCTGTACAGCTTCCAGGCACTGGGACAGAATCTTGAATCAATTGAGATATATGTATACATAATCTCACTCATGATAAATAATTTCCTCCAGGCACCATTGAAACTGTCCTATTTTGACAATCTAGTAGACTTCCAAAGCGTCATTTCAATGTAGACCAATTAATTTTAGAGCCAGAAAGGGTTTCAAAACTATCAGTTGGTTTAAGAATATATTCCTCTTAAGACATGTATTACTTGATACTCTGTTTTCATTTGTCATATCATCCTGTGTATTTTGCCAGGCTGTATCCGGAAATTCAAGTGCTGCCAAGTCAGTGTAGAAGATGGGAAAGGAAAAACGTGGTGGAATCTTCGGAAGACTTGTTACAAAATCGTAGAACATAATTGGTTTGAGACTTTTATTGTCTTCATGATTCTCCTCAGCAGTGGTGCTCTGGTAATTTTTAGAACGTGAAAACCATTCATTATCACAGGGATTTAATGTAGGAAACAACCCAGACACATAATTATCTGAAAACCTCTGAATTTTTAGTAGGGCTTATCTTTTCTATGAGTCATAGCTATCCCTAAAATGGTACAATTTTATTATTTAATTGTTTGTTAGAGTTATACCCCACCTTTCATTCAGGAGTTCAAGGTGCTGTCCGTAGCACTCTGTCCTCCAATTTTTTCCCACAATTACAGCTCTCAGAAGTAGATTTGATGAAAGCGATTAATCACAGTCACTCGGTCACCTATGTAGTTCAGGGTAGATTTGAACCTGAGTTTTCCCCGTGCCAGTTAAATGCCTGGCTTTCTGCATCAAACTGGCTCTCTGTAAACATTTTTCCATTAAATTGTTCCATATAATATTCCTACAGAAGAGAGTCGAGTTTTGGTGCTGTTTTAATCCCATCTAGCTTTACAAAGTGGATGCATGTTTTATTGTAAGGATTTTTCTTCTAAGAAATGAGATCTGTTAGACCCCAGTTAAGCAGTATGGTCACAATAATATTGGAATTCTAAATTGTTCCAAATAGGATAACAATTCATATATACTGGATTCATGCTGGAACAATGTTTTAAACTCCACTCTTACTTTTCTATTAGAGATTAGAGAGGGGAACAGTCAGTTCAGCTTTTTTTAAGTTTAGGACTTTGGCTAGTCCTGAAGTCAGAATTAACATGGCACTTAGTTTTACCCACATTTAAAAAACAAACATCAATTTCTAACTTTATTTTTCTATGGAATGGGACAGAAAAAAACACAAGGAGCTCCATACGATTAAGCAACTTTTTTTAGTTCAGTTTGTGAAATTTGGGAGCAAGATCCCAAGCAGAGATCTTTCTTTAATTAATTTAATTTAATCAGAGATGCCAGTAATTGAACCTGCAATTCACTACATGTAAAACATGCACTCTGCCACTAAACTATGGTTTCTTCCTTCATGAATAGGCTCTGTAAATATCAAAACAAATGCTTCATTTTTACCATATTCTGATTTGATAAATATAATATTAATTAGAGTGCAGTATTTAAGCCTTTCAATAAAAAGAGGGGGGAAACTGTTTTTTAGTTCCAGAAGTGGAAAGTAAACAATAAATAATAAGCCATACTAAAACTTGGGGGGGGGGGCTTTTTGTCCCCAGGCTTTCGAAGACATATATATTGAGCAGCGCAAGACTATCAAGACTGTGCTGGAATATGCAGACAAGGTCTTCACCTACATCTTTATTTTAGAAATGCTTCTAAAGTGGGTGGCTTATGGCTTTCAAGTCTATTTCACCAATGCTTGGTGCTGGTTGGATTTCCTTATTGTTGATGTAGGTATTCTTTCTTTAATATATTGATGTATTGTGCCGTGAATTTTTGCAGCAATCATTGGGTATGCAGTTAACTCAGTACTTTCAGGAAAGGAAAAGTTCTGCTTTAAGCTGGATAAGGTGTTAGTGTATTCAGTAGAATTGCCACTGAGAGGAGCTCCCTTGGCGGAGCAGTACTTCTGCCTTGAGATCCACAGAATTCAAAACTTTCTTATTCCCTTGATAATAGTCATGAAATGAAGTAGTGAATGGGCAAACACTTCTCTCCCGCTTCACTACCTTTGCTCATTTCAGCCATCTCAAGAGTGACAGCTGATTCCTAGACATGAAGTTAACCTTTTCATCTAAGCACATGAGCAGTGGATAGAACAAGGGAGAAAAGTCCACTGTTGTGCAGGTAGGACGAAAGGGAAGCACTTTACCTCATCCTCTCTTGAAAGGAAAAAGATCTAAAATTCAAGAGATCTATTCTAAAAGTTTGAAAATTCAAGCTGGGGAGAGAGAAAGAAAGAGGGAGAAAGAAGCATGACAAGAACAAGATGGTGCTGGAGGAGAGTCTGGAAGAAGTGGACCTTAACCATCTCCCTTGAGCCTTAAAAGTAAGATAAGACATTCCAGAAGAGTTAAAAGAAAGTCAAGGTAACAGTGAAACAGAAAGATGGTTTCCAATTCAAGGAATCATTTGGGTAGACTTGGGTAAAACAAGTTCAGGTGGAACTCTCCATCAGGTTTTTAGGGTTCATTTTTTTAATGTGTTATTGATTAAATGCTTTAATATCTCTGAGGTTTTGGTATTTCTGATTCTTGTCTCTAGTTTCATATACTGTATATCAATTCTGGTTTGTATAATTCTCTTTTTTTCATGCATCTTTGAACCTCATTACTCAAGATGCTTCCAAGCAAGAGCAGACCATGCAGTCTGTCTTCTCTTTTGTACCATTTTCTGGAAGGCTATTTTTAATATAATGTCTGTGATTTTAGCTGCGCTATAGGAGTATTTTCCTCAGCAGCCTCACAAGAGGCTGATTAATGTGGAAGGGATTTTTTTTCATATTTTGAACAATGTTTGACTTATAATTAAGGCTTGATTTACTGTTCTGACTCCCAGGTGGCTTTTCCTCAAACACATCTCAAGCTTATATTAGTTACAGAAGACAGCACTATAGATCACCTTTATCATTCTTGCGTTACTGTGGTTTGCCAGCACAGTCCCACGCACTGGGGTTAAGCAAGTGTTGTCCAAACTTGGCCACTTTAAGATGAGTGGACTTCAACTCCCAGAATTCCCCA